GGCGCCGCCGCCGAGCGGGGAAGGGCGGGGGGTGACGCGTGGGGTGACGCGTGGGCTGCGGCACGGCCCAGGGCCGTGGAGATGGAGAACGGGGCCGGGGAGGGCAGCTGCGGGTTGCACGGCGGGATGATGGGGCAGGACGGAGGACGGCCGAGAATGGCAGTGTCAGGTGTCACTGTGGCCGCGGCGGGTGGGACGTGGGGCGAGAGGAGCACGTTGGGCGGTGGAGGGTGGACAAGCGCCACAGGAGACGGCGTCGCTGCAACCGAAAAAGAGCGAATTCATAGACGCGGAGAGCGGTGCGGTGGTTCCCGGAGGGGACGGGGCCGGGGCAGGCAGAAGAGGGCGGAGGGGTCAAACGTGTGGTTGACAGGAGACGGGCGCGGGTGGCGAACACAGCGCAGTGTACCGGAGGCGTGTTACAGGGCTGTACCCGTGACGCTCAGGTGATCTTAATAACCAAGGCCACCCAATAAGTTTAATTTAAAAGAAGATGGTGTCATAGGAGGGGACAGCAGGCGTTGGGGGGAAGGTAGCGTTGGCTGCGAGACCGGAGCATCTCTGCGGAAGACGCTGCCGTTAGAGGTGACGGACAGTGGTCGTCAGGGTGGCTGGCAGGAAGCGGGGCCGGGGGCGGTGTCGGCTGGTGACGGAGGGCGGGATCGGAAGTTGGCAGGGACGGAAAACGACCCTGACCATCACCGACTTCAGTAGCCAGACCGGGCTCCTCTGTGTTCCAGGATGGCCAGTCCCGGACCGTCCGGCAGTTCCAGTTCACGGACTGGCCGGAACAGGGTGTGCCAAAGTCCGGGGAGGGCTTCATCGACTTCATCGGCCAAGTGCACAAGACCAAGGAGCAGTTCGGCCAGGACGGCCCCATCTCTGTCCACTGCAGGTGAGCTGCACCCCCCGCCCCGGGCCCCGCCCAGTTTCCGGCTGGGGAGACTGAGGCCTGGGAGGCCAGCCGTCAGCCCGAGGCCGCACGGCTTGGTTCGTTGTGCCCCTGAGTGCCGCCTCCCCCTGCAGCGCCGGTGTGGGCAGGACCGGCGTCTTCATCACGCTCAGCATCGTGCTGGAGCGGATGCGGTACGAAGGCGTGGTGGACATCTTCCAGACGGTGAAGATGCTGCGGACCCAGAGGCCAGCCATGGTGCAGACGGAGGTGAGGCCGGGCGGAGCAGTCGGGGCAGGCAGCTTGGGCTTGCTCCCCTGTCTCCTGAGCCTCAGTTTCCCCCTCATTATTAGTAGGTGGTCTTCATCCTTGGCTGGAAGGGGATTAGTCAGCTCTCGACACCAGCAGATTGAAGTCCAGAGCCGAGCAGGGTCCCTTGGAATGGGCACAGAGGGCTCCATCCCAGTCCCAAGCCCAGCAAGTCCATAGCTCAGCCAGGGCCCCGCCGCCCACAAAGTCTAAAGTTACACTGCTCCCCAGATGGGGAAGCGGGGCGTAGAGTGGGGAGGGGCTCCCTGCGAGCGTGTCCACGTCCGCGGCGCGTGTCCACGTCCGCGTTGGATGCTTGTGCCACGTCCTCAGACTCCCCCGTCTCCAGGCAGACAGAGCTGGAGTCATAGATTCTGGAGGGGGCAGCTGAGCAGCCGTGTCTGAGCTGCAGACAGAGGAGGCAGACATGCGAGGGACAAGCTGAGGGGCGTGGCTGCTGGGGGGGGGAGGCACCGGAGCCCTGGGAGGTATCGGAGCAGCAGGGGCACTGACGGAGTCCCCGTCCCTCCCTCCCGTAGGACGAGTACCAGTTCTGCTACCAGGCAGCCCTGGAGTACCTCGGCAGCTTCGACCACTATGCAACGTAAAGCCATGGTCGCCCCCGGCCCGACTCTGCCGGCCCCGGAGGCCTCCGCCCGAGCCGGGTGGGCCTCGGGGGGCCAGGACCCCCAGCGGCCACCTTTCTGCACGGTCCCTGGGAACAGCGCAGCCCCTCGGGCCCCCCGTGCGGCCCCAGCCACCTCCCTGGCGCCGGCCACCGCCTTCAGATACTTGCCACATTCCTCATTCCCTAACGATTCCAAAACGAGAGGTTCCAGGGTGGGGGGTGGGGGGACGGCGAGCAAACGGGGCTCTCCCCAGGACCAGACGAGGGCGGGGCTGCGAACATGACCCTTCCCCCCCAGAGCCTTCTGGCCCTGCAGCCTGGGGGCGCTGGGGGGGGGTGCGGGGAGGGCAAGTGTCTTTCCAAACTCGGTGTAACTGAATCCAGTGACATTTCCTTTTTTTTAAATAGCGTATTTTTTTTCCTCTTTTTTAAAAGAAGAAACAAACAGAAAAACAACAAAAAAAAAAACTTGCCAGTCAACAAATGTAAAAAGAAAAACGTTGCTTATCCCTGTTCTGTTCACAGTGTGTTTTTTTCACCGCAGAGAACGTTCTCGCGGATGGCCGTGTCCGCACGCGCGCCGACACCTGTCCCCGTGGCTGGCTTTTTTCTTTTTCCTGCCATCGGAAGGCGGGCTTCACTCAACAATAGGACGTCCTTTTGCTCCTAGTTTCGTTTCTTTCTTTTTCTGTTTTTTTTTCTTTTTTTTTCTGTTTTTTTTTTTTTTTTTTTTTTTTTTTTTTCCTTCAATTTATTATCAAGGACCGTTCTGGGGGTGGGGCAGTCGGGGGCTCGAGGCCACCAGCTTCGGGTTCGAATGTGCCGGGGCGGGCGCTGCCGCGCGACGTGGCCGTGACCCACCTGTCCCACAGCCTGCGCCCCCGTCACTCGCCCCCGAGGGGGATGAATGAGCAAAACAGGAGCTTCCGCCTCTTCGGGGACAGAGCTCTGTGCCGCCTCGGTTCAGGAACCTTTCTCCCAGGACCAGGGGGCAGTTTCGGGGCAAAAGCAGAAAGGACGGGATCTCCCACCCCCAAGCAAGTGACTTTTCCTCTTTGTACGAGAGCGGCTCTGTCGTGGCTCTCAAATGCTCTATACAAACAAACAGCGGGGTGGTTTTCCCACCTCTGTGTATGTAGATATATCAACTTTGTATTAAAGGAAGGTCGTCCGACCCCGGCCAGTGGTGGCGTCTTTGTCATGCCCCTGTCCGTCCCGTCTCGTCCCTGGGCCTGGCAGGGGCCCGGAGAACTGACGTGTTTTCATTCTGTCATGTGACTGTCCAGTGAGGAGTGGGGCCCAGAGAGGTGATGCTGCAGGTCCGAGGTCACACAGCGTCCAAGGAGCCACGCTGGACTTCGAACCCAGAACCCAAGTTCTGGTCTTACAGGGGCTGCCTCAGTGATAATAGTTATTACTGTCGCCACCACGGAGCATCTACCAGGAGCCAGCTCCCTGAGTTGTGGGTGTCATCACCTCAGTTTACAGATGCGGAAACGGGGACTCAGGGAAGGCACCAATCAAAGCTCACAGTGGGTTTGAAACGGAGCTGAGGTTCATCCGCTGGCCCGTCTTACCCACAGCCCCAAACGGCACCCCCTGCCGCCTTCTCCAGAAGGGGCCGTGGCGGGGCTGAGCCCGTGGAAGGGAGCATTGCGTAGGGAGCACCATTCTTAACCAGAGGCGACCCGCACTCAGAGCCAGAGTCAGACCCCGGGGTTTGGAGGGCAAGCCGCTTCCTCTCTACGCTTCGCCTAGGAGCCAGAGACGGGATGAAAGATACCTCCCCTCGCGGTCACGCAGAAGCTTCAGGGACGAGAAGGAGTGGTCTTAGGATAGGAGCCCAGCCTGGGGAGGGGGGTCACCCCATTTAGAAACCCTCAGACCCAGTAGAAGATGCGACTGATACCGTCAGTAAACTTAGTCAAATAGATCGATCAGACTCTATATCCCGAACCCCCAAATCCTCAAACACACACGGGACATTTATAAAAAGTCAGCATTCAGAAAAACCAGAGGCGGACAGCTGTACAAACTCCAAGAAGCAAATGTTAGCTGAGATAACCTCATCTGGGCACCAGGGAAGAGTCTGCAGTAAAGTCAACCTACAATGGGAAATTATAAAATACATTTCTAAGTCAGGCTTGGGTATAAAGAAGGAATCAACAGAAATAACGATGTTTTTGAAACGGAACAAATAGTCCATCATACAGTGAAACCTGTGGCCTGCAGCCAAAGGCGTACCCAGAGAAAATGCATAGCCTTCAACACATTGATCAGAAAAGAAGACATTTGAAAAATAAGTGAACTTAAAAAAACAAACCAACTTTCAATTAAAATAACTGGAAAGGAATAAAAAAAATCCTAATAAAGAAAAAGAGAAGAGTGGAAATTAACTCTAATTGGGCATCGTTGAGTTATTCTCTTGCGTTAAAAACATTTAGCTCCTGACTTCTGAATTCGATAAGGGAGAATGGTCCTCTTAATGACAGATCGTGGGACAAAAAGAGAGAAGTCAGACTTAACTGAGCCTGGTCCTAGCTTAATCATCCAAGACTTCACCAACAGGCTAGATGGCTAGTCTGCCCAGAGAACTCCTACTCAGTCCTCTAAGCCCTATTCTAAAAGCCCTTCTAAGAAAGCATGCTTTATTTCCCTTCTCTGGTCTCCCAAGCCTATGAGGCCAAAGTGTCTGAATAGGGTATACTTTGCTCTCCGTACTGGAAACTGGACAAAGGATCTTTAAGGAAGGTTACTAGGTGTGACCCTCAGCTCTGTGGTTCCGCCCTTGAGATGGCCATGGTTGGGATAAGCGGTGTCAGGCAGGGATTTATCGGGCCTTCCTCGAAGAGGAGAGCCCTAAGGAATTGGTTCAACCTATAGGCATGGCCACCGAGACTCCGAGCATCTCTGGTTGCCTTGGTCCTGACACAGGATATAACGTCCACCCCTATTTATTGAGCACTCATTATATGTTGCCTCGCACAATCTCATTCGATCCTGACAATGCACCAATGGATAGATGAGACTATAAACTCAAAAAGGTCAGGTCTCTCACTGAAGATGATGCGGACAGTAAGTGGTAGAACTGGACATGGGCCCAGGTCTGCCCCCTTCCCATGGCTACAGTGAGGGAGCTGAAGCCATCTTTGAGCTCTGCCTGCTCGTGGTTAGTGTCAGCCACACACACCACAGCCCCAGGCTGGGAAGGATGGAGCCTAGAGCAGAGCCCCCCGACCCATTGCCCAGGATCTGTCGGGGGCCCAAGCGCCGCAGTACTCTGTTAAGTGCAAATACCCTAAATACACACTCTGTCCCTAACGACATCACTTAAAAATGTCTACAACAAAAACAGCCGTAAGGAGGAATGGAGAGAAGGAACCACAGTGGTGCTGAGACTCACCCTAACTCGAAACAGAAAGACCACGTCGTCAGAATACGGATCTCGAGAAGACGAATGACGCAATAGCCAACTTGATCAAAGAGGTGCGTGCAGGACTTTGCACCCAGCAAATAAAGAACGCACGCTCTGTCCACACACGGAGCCGTCACGAAGGCGGAGCCCGTGTCAAGCCAAAAAGGAAAGCTCAACAGTCTGGCCACGATGCAAGAAAATAAATCAACGATGACGTCTAAGTCCTGAATCCACATGATTAAAAGTATTGAATAATGAGTTAAAGATAAGTCATGTAAATTACAAAACATTTAGAACTGAACGAGAGGGCTGCAAATAAAAACCAGTGGTACCCAACCAAAAATGGACTCAGAGGTAAATTTAAAGTCCAGCGTGTTTATGGGGGGAGGGAGATCACTGAATAGAAATAAAACAAGCAGCCAAAGAAGTACTCAGAGGGAAATGTGTAGCCTTATATAAATTTACGAGGAAAGTAACTAAAACTAGTTAAAGCTTTCAACTAAGCATCTACAAATAAGTCCAAGGTGAGTCAAGGGAAAACATTAAGAAAATTTGAAATTAACACTTAGGAAACTGGCAACAACAACAACAACAACAACAAAATAATATGAAAAGCTAGATTTTTGGAAACACCCATAAAAGAATCGGACCTTTTTCAGGAGAACAGAAGGCAGAAACAACATTAGGGATGACGGGGCACCAACTGCTATTACAGAGGAGAGATTTTTAAAGGATGAGCACATGTCGTGTATATACGACTTTAAACCATTAAATGTGGAAAAGAAAATTGAAAAATCTAGAACAAATCAAAATTAAATTGAGTCATTAGAAAGTGAATAACCTTAGAAAATATTGAAATGATGGTCAAGCATCTATCCCCCTACAAAATTCATTCCCAGATGGTTTTTCAGGAGCATTTTGCCAAATCTTCAAAGAAGAGCTGATCCGCATCTTATGTATAAACTATGTCAGCTTATAGTGGGGACACGAGAGTACTCAAATTACAAGGATGACCTGAGGTGGCGGATAAAAAGCACATTTCTCTTATGTGTCTAAATGCAGAAAGGCTAAGAAAATCCCAGCGATGCAAATCGAGCATCTCATTAAGAGACTAGGAAGGAGTTATGGAATGCAAGGATGGTTTAATATTAGAAAATGCACTCAGATTAAATTGTTACCTCGGAGAGCAAGTCGAGAGTAGTAGAAAGGGTACGTAACCTTCGACTCAACACGTCTGCTCTGAGATACATGCCTTACACAGACCCCTGCAGATGTGCTCAAGGAGACACGTACGGGTGCATTCATAGCGGCAGTACTTAAGAAATTGGAGCCAACTTAGATATCCACCATCAGGAAAACGTATAAGGATTTCTACGTGGTCTTGCAATGGAACACTATGCAGTAGTGAAATGAAGCAATTAGAACTCTGCCCTCCAACATGAATATGTTCAAATACGCTGAGCAAAACAAGCAGCAGAAAGAAAAGGTAGTATAACTCTATCACGGAACACTTTAAAATGCATAAAGCAAATCTATAGTAGAGATAAACATATAAGCAGCAAATATATAAAACTCATCTATATGGCAGCACCACCCAGAGCAATCTACATATTCGAGGCAATCTCTATCAAAATCCCAATGACCTTTCTTGCAGAAATGGCCATGCCAGTCCTCAAATCCATATAGAATTTGCAAGGGGCCCAGAATAGACGGCACGATCCTGAGATAGATCACTGATGTTGGAGGATCCACACGTCCCAATTTCAAAACTGACGGTAAGCAAAACCCTATGATACTGGCATAAAGACAAACATATAGATCAGTGGAAAAGAGCTGAGATTTCTTTAACATTGATGGCCGTTGATTTTTGACAAGGACACCAAGACCGTTCGATGAACAAAGAACAGTGTTTTCAACAAATCGTGCTGTACAAGTGGATGTCCACAGTCCAAAAGCGAAATTGGACCCCCACCTAACGTCATACGCAAAAGTTAACCCAAAATGGATCGAAAACCTAAACATAAGAGCTAAAGTATAAAACTCTTAGAAAAACTCG